AGCACCTGTGTCCCTTGTGTGTGACCTCTCTGGCCATCTGTTATTTTACCAGGCTTCGGAGGATGGTGTAGCCGTGTAGTGTTTATCCTCCCCGCACACCACACCTCCGAGCCCCTTAGAGATCTGGAAGCAAAGCGACAGCATGCGTTTGGGAAGAACCCAGGCGCCCTCGGGGTAACAGCATTCCCTGGGAACCTGCAGGGATGGGAGGGTAGAGCCCAGCCTCACCGAGTGCTAGTGCCCAGTGCTTCCCGGTGGCCTCAGGGCCTCGGCTATGGGCAGGGTGGGAGTGGACAGAGGGGACTCAGCTACCTCACCCTGGCTGTCGGCGCCAGAAGTGAGAGCACGGTCCACACAGAACCTAGCACGACCCCCACCCGCCCTGGAGTGTGGTCCATCCTTACCTCAGGTGCTGCAGGCCTGGAGGTGAGCAGGGCACGGATCCTCCCACGGCCTGGACCACGCTTCACCCATGCAGCGGGCAAGGTGCAGCTCCCACACAGGCCTGGAGTGGCTCCGTCCCGTGGGGTGCTGTGTGGGGATCCCTCGGAGGCAGGAGGAATGGGGATACAGGTGACTGCTGAGCAGCTGGGGGCTCCTTCGGGGAGATGGGGTGTTCTAAAGTTAGGAAGCGGTGGCGGTGCAGAGCTCTCTGAGTGCTGGGCTCCTCCAGCCCGTGGCCTGCGAGTCACAGCTGGTTATCACTGCTTCGAGGGAAACCGGTCCCTGTAGGCCTGGCGCTGGGCGGGAGGGGACGTCATGGGTCAGAGAGCGAGGCTGAGCCACTGTTGCTGCTTGGCAAGGTGAAGAAGTTGAGTTTTCCAAAGTCCCCTCTCTCTGGAGCCGTCACAAAACCTGGGGACAGCATGCATCTCTCCAAGAGGAACAGTCAGGGGGCGTGGGCCTGGGCCTGTCCAACTGTCCATCTCCACCTGCATCTCACAGATGCGGAGACGCGGCCCTGAGATGGTACCGTGGCTGCAGTTACGGGGTGGTGGGGAACCCCAGTTCCCTGGGCTCCTGTCACCATGTGAACCTCCTCTGTGCCCCGCCCTCCCGCGAAGGCCTGGCTTGCAGCACAGACGGCCCCTGTCTCCTCAGAGACCCCACCATCCACTTGGGGAATGGAGCTCACAGGGCTCAGATTTGAAGGCCAAGGAGGTGTCAGGCAGAGGGCTGCTGGGTGCCAGGGGCCTGCGGGCATGAGGAGCACGTGTGTGAGAGTTTGGGGCCCCTGATGTACCCCGCAGCCCCTCCGAGCACCCCAGCACCTCCGCTCGTGGGGCTTCTCTGTCCCATGTCACTCTCCCCCCAGCTTGCCTGGCCTGGGCCCCATCTTGTCCCCGCTCCCCACTGGCCAGCAGAGGCCCGCCCCTAGCCACTGCATCTGGCCCCTCACAGCGTGTTCCCAGCAGCGTCCTGCCGGCCCAGTGAGTTCCAGCCCTAGGCTGTGCTGTCGAGGCTGCGGCTCCTGGGGGCTATGACCCAGGATGGAGGTGGATGGTCACAGCTGGATGGCTCTCGTCCCCATACGGAGGCAAGCACATGTCCTCACGGCTCCAGGCTTTGGGGAAGGGTGGTGCACAGTGAGTCACTTAAGGTGACAAGCTCACGCAGCTTGAACTTGTGCTCCCTCTAAAGCAGAGCTGGACAGCTCTGGGAGGGGTTCCACAGGCTCTTCTGCCCTGGCCAGAGGACCTGCCCCGTGCTAGGGGGTAGCAGCTTCTGTTCAGTCCCACGATGAACCTGCATTGTCATCCCCACTTTACAGGCAAGAAACAGAGAGGCTAAGTGAGTTGTCTAAGGTCACACAGCAACTGTCCTCTTCTGATCCCAAGTCCTAGGCCTCATGGTCACTGACTGGTGGTGCCAACTGCCTGATTTCCCCAGCATGTGACTCCACAGCGAGCCCCTCATGTGCAAGCTCACACTGCCACCAGGGTGACCACATGCTTCCTTCCTGGGAAGTCCCTGTGCAAGGCACCATAGGAGCCAGCAGTCACAAGGTGCTGTGGAGATGCTCTGAGCCCCACGGGCTCTGCCAGGGTGCAGACCAGGTGCCCTCAGACCCCTGTTCTTCATCACGCCAGTGGAGAAATCTGATATACTCACCCAGCTGAAGCAGAGAGGGAAGGGCCACTGTCCCTGATTCCTAAATGGGTGAGCGCCATGGAGCAGCTGCCAGACCAGTTGTGGATGGACAGCTGAGTAGATGGAAGCAGGGCCAGATGGTGAGTGGATGGGTGGGTGGATGGATGGATGGATGGGTGGATGGATGGATGGATGGGTGGGACTGGACAGTGGAAGTATGAGTAGGTGAGTAGATAGATGGATTGTGGATGGGTGGATGTATAGATGATGGGTAGATAGGCTGGCTGGCTGGATGGGTAGGTTGGAAGATGAATGAATGTGTGGACAAGAGGGTGAGCATATGGGGCAATGACTGAGCAGATGGGTAGTTGAATAAATGAATGGGTATGTGAGTTGGTGGATGGATGCATGCATGCATGCATGCATGAGTGGATGGGTGGGTGGGTGGATGTGTGGATGAATGGGAAAAAATGGTGGACAAATGGATGAGTAGATAGATGAGTGGGTAGGTGGAAGGATGGACAGGTGGATAGATGAGTGGATAAATGGGTTGTTGGGGGAGGGAGTGCATGAATGTGTGTGTAGACAGGTGAGTGAGTGGATGGGGGATGGGTAGATTAGAGCCTTCTCATGTGTGACGTACTGTTATGCCCCAAGAATCCTGCTGGAGATGGCTCCTCAGATGTGCTCCTAATAATTATCTGGATTGGAGAGCCATAGAGCAAAGACAGTATGTTCCTCCCTACTCTATCCCGGTACCTACAGCATCTGGAACACAGACAGCTCTTAATGACTGCAGACCCCTGTGGGCCTCAGTAGACATACTGAGCGAGGCCCTGCCAGGCTGGCATAGGTGGCTAGATGCTATGTGGGTCTCTAGTCTACTCCCCAGGACAAAGTGGTTCTCAGCCAGGACAGAGAGCCTGCCGGGTCCTCGAAAGCATTTGGAAGTGGTTGTCAAGAAGACATCTCCAGGGGATTGGTTCTGCCACTGCAGCTTCTTCAGCAATCTGCAAGGCGTTGGCTTGGCCATGCTCTGCAACATTGTGAAAGGATGTTTATCGTGGTGACTGATCGCCTCACGCTGTGCTCAGTCCCGAAATGGAACTGTGAAGTCAGTGATCGCCTCACGCTGTGCTCAGTCCCGAAATGGAACTGTGAAGTCAGTGACGCGGGTGTCCTCAGCACCCTGAGCCCAGCGCTGGGTTGTTTTCATACTTGTTCTACAAGCAGAAGTCAGCACTAAGTGTCTCAAAGGGGCCCTGGACCTGGCCCTGGCCCTGGCCACCGTTAAGACTGTGACTGGGCCAGGTGGGGGGCGGGGATGGGCGGAAGTGACAGTCTATCTTGTCTGTGAGGCCCGAGTCTGCAGGGAGCAAGGGGCAGCTTAGCCAAGCAGTCCTTACAGTTGACAATGGCCTGCTTTATTGAAACGCTTCGGGAGAACACACACGCTATACTTAGAAAAGGCCTGGTCAGCAGCGCCTCTTAAACCTGAGCAGCCTTGGGGCAGCAGCAGATGCTGGGCCGAGTGGCCAAGCAGCGATCAGTGGGGCCCAGAGCGAGCGTTTGCTCGGCTTGGACCTGCTGTGCACCGTCCTGGTCCAGCTGTTTAATCCCCAGGGCAGTTGCCGCTTGCATGGTGCAGCTCTGGGTGCTGAGCCCCTCAGAGGCAGCCAGGCTGGAGGGCAGACCAGGCGGCCAGCTCGGAGGCCTGGGCCTTCGTCTCTGCTCCCTGCTGCCTGACCCCCCAGACTCAGTGAGACGGTAACTCGTGAGACCCAGCTCCACAGTACCGACAGGATCCGTGAGCCTCGGTCTTCGGCCTCTGAGACGGAACTGTGCGCGTTCAGGGGCTCCGTGAAGCCAGGTGGGCTGAGCTGTGGGGCCTGAGGAGTTTGAAGCGAGGAGCCGGGCAGTCAGCGCGGGCTCGGAAGGTGGCTGTGGCCCGGAAACGGTTGGGTGGCGGGGATGGGAAAGCAGCTTCCGTGGGTACCCAGGTGGGAGGTGGCCTGGGCCACAGAAGCCGGGGACTCAGGGACGTCACTGAGAGAGGTTTGAGGAGGTGGAGCAGGCCAGGTGCTCCTGCCCCCGCTGGGGCCCACTCCTTCCTGGGGGTCCTGGGAGGGAGGGAGGGCACACCCGGCAGCCCAGCCCGAGGCCTCTCTGCCCCCGGGTGGAAGGTGTGTAACTTGCGTACACACAAAGGTTCTCCTTTGAAAGAGAAGGCCAGCAAAGTCAGCTTCTGAAAGGAAGCAGAGGGGTGAGCCGAGGGGAGGGAGATGCCCCATGCCAGGGCCCACCATCCCCTCCGCTGGCGCGTGGAAGGCCCAGCAGCTCTGGCTCCACACTGGCGGCCTGGGTGCCAGATGCTCTGGAGACGGAGCCAAGTTCTGGCTCCAGCATGGTTGAGAAGCAGCTCCAGGAGGCCCCCCGGGCCCCCAGCTGCCAGGCCTGGCCCTGGTCAGCAGTATGGGCTCGGCTACGGTGGGTGCATGCTCCCTCCTCGCCGGCGGTCACCCACCTCAACCACCCCAGGGCATCCACTGGTCAGGCCCTGGCGTGAGTGAGTGATAAGTGAAGTGTGACCAGGTTCCTGGATCTGGAGCGCGGAAGTGGTTTTGTGAGAAGCGTCAGAGCCATGATGCCAGGGCAGGAGGGAGCCACAGGAGGTCTCAGCAGGAGAGGAGCCTGTGTCTCACGGGGTGTCCCCGAGACTGTGCACAATGGGCCCTCGCCGCTGCTTCTCTGCGTCCTCCCCGCTGGGCCCCTGCCTGGTCTGCATGGGCCGTGGCTAAGTGTATGGAGCACACACCTTGGCCCCAACTGTGGGCAGCCCTGGGGTGGGCTGTGCTGGTCAAGGCCCGCCCTGCCAGCAGGCACCTCTGATCCTCTCTCCCTCTGCCCAGCGCCTACACGGAGCCCTACAAGGTTTGTCCTGTTTCGGCGACAGCACCCAGAGAGGACGGGTCTGAGGAGGAGCAGGGCAGCTCTGAGGAGGAGGACGGCACCCCCAGGGACCCCAGCGTCACCCACAAGGTAGGTGTGGGAGGTGGGAGTGTGGTGGGCAGGAGGTGGGCAGGGTGGGAGGAGCCGCGTGGAGCTGCCCAGCTCTGAGATATTGGGTGCCTGGAGGGGGTGGGTGGCTGGAGCAAAGCCTGACTAGAGTGACCCCCACCCTGGACTCTTAGCCTCAGTCTCCCCATCTGGGTGATGGAGTCCCCAGGGCAAGGGGCACTGAGGGATATACAGGAGTTTGTTCCTGAGGCAGTGGGGACACAGCTGGTCCCTGCCCTACTTGGCACTGTGAGGTGAGGACCCGAGGTCACAGGGGACCCCAACTCCTCAGGGTGACAGCACCGACCCTCTGTGAGACTCAGGTGGCCTCATCCTCTGCACACACCACGGGGAGGCAGCTCTGGAGTCTTCAGGAAACGGGGCCAGGGATTCAGGTCCCAGAAGCCACAGCACTGACACCCTCTGCTGTCTGAGTCCACAGGACCCAGCTTGCTCGGTGCAGGGAGCGCTGGAGCCCTGGACCCCAGTCCTGGCAGCTGCCTGGGCCACCCCAGGAGTACGGGCAGGGCTCTGCTGGCACAGGTGTCCTTGTCGTGACCTAACGTCACAGCTGTGGTGCCTGCTTGGGGGTCAGTAGGGAGGGACATAGGACGGCCGGGGACAGTGTGGGCACCACCCTTGCCACAGTGTCCGCCATGACAGTGCCAGGGACTCGCAGCCACAGACAGGTCCCTCGTGTGTCCACGGTGAGGCAGAGCTGGGGCCACTCTGAGCATCTGTCACCGTGTGGCCTGGTGGGAGGTACATTTGGTTCCAGGTCCGGTGCCCTGGGGCTGGGTGTCCACCAAGGGGCTGGCATCTTTCTTCCTGAGCTGGCACATGATGCCAGGCCCTTGCCCATAAGAATGTGGGGGTGGTGGGGCTCCTCATGCTGACCCCTGGCCTGCAGGTCCCACAGCGGGGATGCCTGCCCGCCACACGGTGGCTCCCCAGAACTCTCCCTGGGGCTCCATGTATTTAGAGGGCACTGTTTATGAGCTGATATTTATCGAGAGAGCATCAAACCGTGGGAAACCAGGAGAGACATCCTCAGAGTGGCCTTGGAGCTCCGTGCTGTGGATGCCCCGTGCCGTGTGCTGGGCTCATCCACGCCCAGGAATGGCACCCGTTCCGTGTCCCACTGCTGCGTGCCCCGTTCATGCCTCCACGCACACATGTGTGAGGTCAGGGGCAAGCGCCGGCCTAGCAGTGCAGAGTCCTGGCTCCACTCCACACCACAAGGAAAAAGCAGATTTCTCTAGGGCAGCTCCCAAGCAGGAGCGAGCCTCAGACCAAGGCTTTCAGTCTCTGCAGGGACAGGGACGGCTGTCCCCTGCTGGGCCGGAGCAGAGGTCACTGTCGGAAGCTCCACCCCCGCACTGGGGTGGGAGTGAGGGACAGGAGGTTGCTAGCTGCTCATTCCCTCGTCCCCCAGGCTCAGAACAGCTTATTTCTTTAGAAGGCAAAGACCCTTCCTCTCTGCTCCTCAGTGCTGGGGTGGGAAATAGGGGTGATGTTTCTTTCTCTGGTCCCGGAAGAGCAGGCCTGAGGAGACGGGCGGGGAGTGGCTGGCACGTTGGGGCCCTGGGACAGCCAAGTGCTCTGGAGAGACCTGAGCGCGGGACAGGAGACCGAGCGCCCCCCAACCCCCGCTTGTGACCTCCTCTCCCGCCTGGAGCACAGCAGGCGCGGGCGGCAGGAGGGAGGAGAGGAGCCAAGATGCGGAGGGTTTGACCATGTCTGTGGCCACGTGAAAGGGACTTCGGAGGCTGGCGGTGCCACTCCTGCTCCCCGGCCAGCTCCAGTGCCCCTGTGTCACCTGGTCACCTGGTCACCCTGATATCACCTGTCCCTGTGGGAGCCCGGCATGGGTCAGGCTGCAGTGTCGTGGGACGGCTCCACTCAGGATGTCACCAGCAGAACGGTCGCCTGCAGTACCCCACGGCCAGGCCTGGAGTAGGGCCGGTTCTCCAGGACCTCATCCTCCAGCCCCAAGCAGCCACTACTTCTCTAGACACCGCAGACCGTGCCCGGGCTCAGGCAGGGTCTCTGCAGCCTGCGCATTCCAAGGCGCAGGGCCGTAGCACATGCACACCGTCCCTGAGCCAGGCCACACCCCCACCCGCTCTGCATGGTCCCAGCAGACACAGGTGAACACAAAAGGCTTTGCCAGCGGCTGCCTAGACGGGCTCCCAGCTGGGACAGGTAGAGACCTTGGAAGGTCAGGTGCCAGGGCAGAGCAAGAGACCCAGGCAAAACCCCGGCCACCGGACGGAGCAGACCCTTCTCTGAAGAAGGACACATGGCCAATGCATACACAAAAAATGCTCAACACTGCCGGCTGTCAGAGAAATGCAAAGTAAAACAACACTGGGATCCCATCCTGCTCTGTAGGAATGGCCGAGGTGGGGAATGGACCCATAACAAATGCTGGCGGGGCCGTGGGGAAAGGGGTCCTGTGTGCCTTGTTGGTGGGAGTGCGAATGAACACAACCGCTGTGGAGATCAGTGTGGAGATTCCCTAGCAATGAAGTTGGAAATTCCATTCCACCCAGCTATTCCCTTCCTAGGTATCTCCCCTAAAGAGTTATCGACATCGTATTACGGCAATCCATGTGCGCACGTGTTTATAGCAGCACAGTTCGAAATAGCTAAGTCTTGGAAGTTGCCTGTATGTCCATCAGCAGATGAATGGATAAGGAAAATGTGGTATTTACGCTGAGTGGAGTACTACTCTGCCATAAAGAAGGATGAATTGAATCATTTGTAGGAAAACGGATGCAGCTTGAGATCATGATATTAAGTGAAATAAATCAGACACACAAACTTAAATATCACGTGGTTTCTCTGATGAGAGACATGGAGTATTAGTAATTTAAGACAATAAAAGAGGTGATAGGAAATGGGAAACAGACTTAGTGGAGACAGAGGGCATGTGGGATGAGGAGAGATGAAGGGGAAGGGCACGGGGGAAAGGCGAAGAAAATGAACCCTCCTATCGGGCACAGGCACAGGTACAGACCTGCCCTCCCAGCGCTCAGGAGGCTGAGGCAGGAGGATCATGGGTTCAAGGCCAGCCTACGCAACTTAGCAAGATTCTGTCTCAGAATACTTCAGTCAACAATAACAGTGAACCCTGTCCAGAGCTCCCGCCCCAGGTTCTCTGCTGCCATCAGAGGATGTACTGGAGTCAATTCCTGACCCAGTGAGCCTCAGGGGTGCCGGTGTCCACCTGGAGCAGCAGGGCCCAGGGGACTCCCTTCCCCAGGTTGGTTTGGGGTGCCGCCCAGGGCATCCGACCCTGAACAGGCGAGACTCCCAGTGGTTACACGAGCTGTTCTTTCCGGCCCTGGGCAACAGCACCTCGTCCCAGGCCTTGGTGACATCCTGGGAAGCAGCCGTCCGGAGCCAGGTTTACCGTATCACAGACACAGCCTGAGGAGATGTTAGGACTTCTGTGTTTAAATTCACGTAAAATGCAAACGCATTACACGTCGTGAGCAGCATTTTTATAGGGAAAGCCCCTGGTTTTTTTGTTTTTTTGGTTCCGGGAATCATACTGAGGACCTTGTGCTTGCCAGGCAGGCGCTGTGCCGCTGAGCTGTATCCCCGGCCCTAAAGCTCCTGTTTTCTAAAATGAGCAGCGCTGATCAGCGGCAGCATGGCATGGGCCTCCCGCTCTCACCGCCATGGTGGTGCTGACCATGCGTATCCGTCCCCTGTGTGGGGGACATCAGGCGGCAGGGATGGGACCAGAGGTCCACACCCTGGAGGCTGGTTTGCAGACAGTGGCCAAGCAGTCCCCTCAGCAGCCGGAGAAACTGAGGCACAGAGACAGAGGACCGGCACTCGCAACTCTGCACCTCCCCCTGCCCCGTTGGCCCCAAAATCCCCGGAGAACCAGTTTGGTTCCTCCAGGGAACCAGGTGGCCAGGGCTGAACAGCCAGTTTGCTCGTGTCCCAGGGAAGCAGCTGGGCCAGGCCGGGGACCACCCGCTGTCACCCCCACCCCAAGGCCCAGCCTGAAAAAGGAGCTGCACGGACCTGTGCCCCGCCCCCACCCCACACTGTGTCAACCTGGAGTGCGTGTCCTGATGAAACAAACATTGCCTTAGACGCCTGCGGTACACCGCCCAGGTGCAGCCTGGCCCTGGCGAAGATGCGTCTGGCACCCTGGACCATGTCCAGCTGGAGGCTGGGCCGTGCAAAGCAGCCCAGAGTCTGTCCCCACCGCCTGGCACTGTGACCCTGGCAGCCTACGCTAGGCAGAGCGCTCCCATTGCCTGGTCCTGCAGGTGGGGCTCACCCTGGTTCCAAGCTGGCCCCCGACAATCCCGTGGCCACTGGAGGCCAAAACCCCAGCAGCCCCGCCGCAGACAGAGCAGACCAGAGCCTCCTAGGAGCCACGGCCACCAAGAACAAGGTACCACTTACCTGCTGTTCCCCGACTTACAGCCTCAGGTTTGCAGTGGGTTGTCGGGGCACCAAGTGCACTTTGTTTTGAGACAGTGTCTCCCAGTGTTGCCTAGGCTGGTCTCAAACTTCTGGACTCATGGGCTCCTCCCGCCTCAGCCTCCCAACTGGCTGGGAGCACAGGTGCTTGTCATCGCTGCTGGCTTGTGTAGATCTGTGACTTCTAACTTCAGCAGGGCGTCTCCAGACAGCCACCACGAGCTGGTGCCAGACTGCCGGGCTCTGCGTGGCCCTGCCACTTAGTGGGCAGGCGATGGGACCCGCTGGTGCCTCGGTTTCCTCATCCGTGCAGTGGAAGGAACACCATGCCTAGACCAGGCAATAGCACCCACGGACAGCATGGTCACTCCTCACCCACAGAATGGACCACGCACACACGCTACTGCCGTGCCATCTGGTCAGGGTACTGTGGCCCTTCTTTGCAAATGATCTCAGAAGAGAGCAGTAACTGCCCTGGGCTTGGAGACAGGAAGTGGACTCCTGGGTCAGGCAGCTTGGGAGGCTGCGGTCACTGACCCCTATCCTCATCCTGCAGGAAGAAACTATGCGAGACTCTCCTGGCCACTGTCCTCTCCCCAGGAATGTCTCTCTGCCTGGGGACTCCACAGGTTCTCCTGGACCGGCAGAGTGCTGTTTCCCTTGCAGGGTCTTACATGTGACTGCTGGGGCCCCAGCAACCCCAAAGGTGCAGGAGGCAGATACAAGTCTGACTGGTGTCTGACTGGGCAGGGACATCTTGGGCCTCAGTGTCCCCAGGGGACACAGATGGGGCCACCATCAAGTCCTGCCCTGTGTGAATGGTCTCAGAAGGGCTGAACCTTCAACGTTGTTATAGGCCAGTAAACTTCAGGATGAGCCAGCTGGGAGAGCACCGCGTTTATTTAGCACCCGATGCATGCTGCACCCTGTATCTGATTTGCTTACAACCGTCTCCTGTGTGTGGGGACGCAGTCACCAGCTGCTCTGAGGATGCGCACAGGGACAAACGCCACCATGGGGCTCCGAGGGGGCTGGGGCTGTGTGTGCCCCAGGAGGTGGCTGCATCCTGTGGCCACAGCCTCCAGCCTGCTGGACCCCACATTTCCCTTCTCTTCCCTCCCGAGCCCGAAGGTCTGGGCTGGCTCCACCCACTCGATGATCCCGGGGACAGCTGGGTGCGAGGGAGGTGGGGCCAGAACTGTGCTTGAATGCGTAGCTGGTGAATGCACTGCACGGCCGCACCCAGGTCACAGGTCAGAAAATGGAGGCGCAACAGGGAGCCACGGGCGGGGAGCACCGGTCTTCTGGCTGGCTAGCTTCCTGCCTCATAGGCCCCTGGAGGGAGGGCCCCCGGTGCCCGGGAGGCCACAGGGCAGGGAGCGCTGGCCCTTGGGCCGGCCCGCAGCCTAACAGGCACCTGGGAGGAGGGGCTCTGGTGCACAGGAAGCCACATGGTGGTGAGCGCTGTTGCACACCAGCCCTCAGGCCGGCCACCAGTGCTTTGTTGAGAACTACCATGACACAGAGAAACGTTGACACAATTGGCCCACCATGCACCACCTGCAGATGCCCACCCACAGATGTATCTGAATCATTCAAACATGGAGAAACCCCTGGGAATACATGCCATACAAC